TAATTCTCACCACATTATCCCATTTTGATGTTGAGGTAAATGAGGCTTAGAGTGTGTAGGTGTCTCCCCCAAGGGGCTGACTTGAACCCAAGGCTCAGGATGGGTGGGGTAGTGCAGTCTTTGGGGCAGTCGCTGTCTTGCATCCCATTCAGGGCCTCTGGGCGGAAGTTGGAGAAATTCACGGTGTCAGTCAATGTGGCTGCGGGCAGCAAAGTCACATTTGAGCTAACCTATGAAGAGCTGCTGAAGAGGAACAAGGGCAAGTACGAGATGTATCTTAAGGTCCAGCCCAAACAACTGGTCAAGGACTTTGAGGTAATCAAACACCTCTGCAGGCCCTGCTGAAACTGTGGGCACAGGATGGGAGGTTGGGGAAGGGCCCCTGGGGTGGAGCTCAGAGCAAAATCAAGGACACAGAAGTCCAGGCCTCACCACTTGGTTGAGGAAGCTCGGGGAATTACAATGGCTCTGGCCATAGCAACTGGGCCAAGGGGAGGAGGAGGCTGGGCTGGACTCACCCAGATCTTTGGATGCTGGGCCCTTGGGGCAACATCACAAAGTGTCTCTGTATAGCTGGTAACTGGTTATAACGGTGCTCTACCTACATCAGATCTGAAATGGTTTCATGGTGGAAATTGGACACCACCTGGCAGGCCATTGGAGAGCTTTGGGGTTAGAGTACCATTGAAGGGCCCTTTTGTTCATTTTCTTGGTGAGAGACACGAAGTGTGGCTGTCACAGAGTTGTCCTAGAAGCTGGTCCCTGCACTACCACTGACCCATCGCTTTGGGCCCTGTCCTAGAGGTTGGTCTCTGTACTGTCACTGAGTAACATCTCCTTACCTTTGGACATTGCAGATCGAGGTAGACATCTTTGAGCCCCAGGGCATTAGCATGCTGGATGCTCAGGCCTCATTCATCACCAATGACCTCCTGGGAAGCGTCCTCACCAAGTCCTTCTCAGGGAAAAAGGTGGTATAGATGCCTCTCAGGCCTGGGGGGCAGGGGCAGGAACCCAGACCCTAGCAGGACCAGTTGGAGCCCTAGGGCTTGGCTGATGCTTGTGAGTGTGTGTCTCTCTGCTGCCATCACTGTCTCCCTGGCCACCTGGTCAGGAGTGGGGATGCTGGAGGCAGAGGGCAGCTTGCTATTGATGACCCGCATGAGGAACTGACATGCCCCAGCAGCCCTTCCCCAACCGCTCATCCAGTCCCCCAGTTTCAACAGGGCCAGTTGGGGCGCTTGATTACCTCAAAGTGCTTGGCCAGTTGCTTGGGCTGGAACTGGTATGTGTGGGGGGACCACTTATAAAGCCCAGTGTCATTCTACCTTGGGAGGTAGGCAGGACAGGTGACTGCCCCTGTTTTACAGATAAGGAGACTGAGGCCAGAGGGAGTCATTTAGATCTGCTGACTCCACATTGAGGGGGTGGAAGTTGAAAGGGAACTTTACTCTTGATGCAAGTGGTTGACTCTGATCCCCAAGGCCCTACTATTCCAGGGTCTTGCTGACCATGGGCTGTGTATGCATGCATGTTTACACGAAGAGCAAACCTCAGTCACTCAGGGCTTGTAGGGCGAGGCCCAAGGAGCACACACTCAGAGGGCTGCTGGCTTCTGCAGGGCAGTGCCCGCTCCCACCTACCTGCTTTGCTTCCTTTCCCCTTCTCCTCCTCTTGGCACCAACACATACCACCCAACATGAAGTTCCTTTTTACGGTGCACAGCTCCCCTCCCTAAGTGGCTTCTCAGTGCTGTAGGCCAAGTAGGCTGAACACAGGGACTTAGCTGAACAGGGAAAGACAAAGGCTGCATCAGATAAGGCCACTGTCCTCCAAGTTGCCACTGATCTCCGAGGAGAGAGCAGTGCTCAGGAAGTCCAGTGTATGCTGGGTGGTGGCAGGACTTTCGGGTGCCCACCTCTGGGCTTCTCCCTA